AAATTATAAGATAAGTATAATTCAAGTATTTTCAAAGATAATTAAATTATTACTATTCAAGTATATTTATTTTATATTTGAGAGCAAAGATAGACTCTACTTATAATTTATTTGATATTCTAGTATATAATTACAAGTTTTAGGATAAAGAATTATAAATGAATAAATAAAATAATAAAATAAGATATACGTAATAAGTTAAAAAATAATACAAATAATAAAATAAAATAAAAAAATAAGATAAATATTCTAAAGAGAAAAAAATAATAAGAAAAATAAATTAAATTTATTACTGAATCATTTCTGAAATATTTTTGAACTGTTAATGAATTATTTATAAACTATTATTATCTTTTAAGCTAATTATATAATTATAATTTTGAAATATTACTAAAATATTACAGAAATATTATAAAAATATTATTAAATTATAACTGAATTCATAATTAATATACTAATTAAATCATTTGAAATTATATATTTTCTAAAAATTAACTGATTAGTCAAAAATTTCAAGTTTAAAAATTATGAAATTAAAAAAATTTATATTATTATAATAATATTTAATTTTTTTAAGTAAGATTAAGCTCTAGTAAGACTATAAATTCTTTTTAGAATTTCTTTAATTTTATTATTTCTTATATATATAAAATTATTATAAGTAATTTATTAAAAGTTATAAGTCTTTTCAAGTTTATATTTTGATAATAGCTAATGAATTCATTTTTCAAGAAGAAAATCTCTTCTGATCAAAGTTATTCCTTTTGATTGAGTTAATTCTCTTTATAATTTTATTAATTTTTATAAGTATTATTTAAGTATTTCTTTTAATAATTATTCAAAGTAATAATATCTAATAAATTATGATTTATCAGATTAATTATTATAATTTTTAAATAAGTCATTAAAAATTATTTAAACTCTTATCTTTCAGCTTTGATCAGGTCAAAATTGATAAGTAATATTGACTATAATTGTTATTCTTAATACTTTAATATTGATAATATTTACAAATCATTTTATTCTTATTCTATCTTATAATTTATCTATTTGAATTAGAACTTCTTCTATAATTAATTCCAGTTCTTGAGATATTTTTAAAATTATATTGAAGTTGAGTTATCTTTTAGTAATAAGATTATAAATAATTTTCTGATTACTATTTTCAAGTATTAACTAATCTTTATTAATTTGCAAAGTTTATTAAATTTGTAATCTTTTAGTTATTAATAAAGAAAAAGCAAGAATATTTTGAATAAAATCAAAATTATTAAAAAAAGTATTTATCTTTAAAGAGTTAAATACTATCAAGAAATTAAACTAAATAATAAGAGTATTAAAATAATAAAAAGTAATAAAAATTTAAAGAAAATATTAAAGTAAAAGTTCTATATTTATAAAATAAAATTTTTAATAAAAGATTAGTATATTTACATATATGTATAATTAAATAAAGTTTGTATAAAATTAAGAGATAAATAGATAAATATCATAAGATTAAAAATCTAATTTTCATTTTCTTCTTTTATTAATGATACTTTTATATGTTTAATAATTATTTTTAATTCAAAATAGTTATTTCTATTATAATAAAACTTCAGTTAAGTATCATTAAAAGTTTTGTGTAATAGTTTGTTATATTGATTTTATAATTTATAAACTTTATTATTAATAAAGAAAAAGTTATTATTATTAAATCTATAAATATTTTAATATAATTATATATTTTTTTATTATTATTTACTTTTATATTAACATATCTTTTATTAATATATTTTTAATTTTAATAAGTTATTAATAATTAAAATTTAGAATAAATTCTAATAAATAATTAGATTTGAAATATATAAATATTATGAGATGATTAAGTTATTTAAGTTAATTTAAATATAAGTAAAAAAAGAAGTAAAAATATAAAGACTTCAGATTGGTAAACTTATAAAAAGAATATGAAATAAGAATTAGAAAATTGAAAATAAAAATAATATAAAAATAATTAAGATATTTATTATATTTATTATAAATTATTGATTCTAGTTTTTAATAAAAAATATTAAATTTATAATACATAGATAAATAAAATTTTTTCTTGATATTTTATGAATATAATTAATTAAATAAGTTTTTTATATTTATAATTTAAATAATTATATATATATATAATTATTATTATATGTTTACTATAATAATTATTTTTATATTTCTTAATTATTATTAATATTATATTTACTAATTTTAATTATCTTGTTTATTATTATTATTATGTTTAATCAATAATTACTTTTCATATAATATAAATGAATTATATAATATAATCTGAATTGAATTCTATATCACATAAAACTATCCAGTTTTAATAAATCTCTATATATGTGTATTCTAAATATGAGTTAATATAAAAGATTTGTATCTTGATATAAAAATTAATAATTACTTCTAATAAAAATCATTCAAATTTTAATTGATCTTTATAATTTTTTTATATTAAATAAAAAATAATCTAAATTAACTTTTTATACTATTTTAATTATTCTATTATACTTTATATAGTAAATAATTTAATTACTTAACTTTGAACCTTAATATCTTTATAGCTACTGATTCAATTTTTATGAAATTTAGAATATATATTTATCAAATCTAGGACAATCTAATTTGAAGTTTTAATATTACAAATTGATAATGATAATATTTAAAATATCTTTTTTAAAAAAATAATTTTATTTTAATTTTTATATTAATTTAATCAAATTTTATATAGTAAATTTAAGAAATAATAATTGAAAAGATATATAATAAAAATTTTTACATTTAAATAAATCCCAATACAGATAGAATTAAAATTTTGAAAAAATAATCTATTAATATTTATCTTAGGTACAAATCTTTTTGCACCAACCCATACGTATTATCAAAAATTCTTTCTGCTCTTTTCTCTCCCGTTCGTGCCATCATGGCACATCCCCACTGAAAATACTAACTTTCCTACTACTCCAAAAGCACTCTTCTGGCCTCAAGAATTGATTATTATCTTTTTTTTAGTTTTTTACAATAAATTCTTACCTTCAACAACATGACCTTTCCGTTCTCGCTTTTCGGGGTTCGATTATTTAAGGCCTCGCGTGATGGCCATTTTTTCGCGGTTTCGGTTATTAGTTATAATCTCGATAAATTTTCTCGCCTGCAATTTTTATCAATCACTATGGGGGATCGAAGGATGAGGATGGATTGAACTTTAATAGTATCTTTGTAGAATATGTACTTTAAGAATTTGAACTTAAAATAAAAAATTATTATGAATTTTTAACCATTTGAGGCCTGTCAAGGTTTGTTCTTATTTGTTCGTTTGTTGAACATTTTAGGATAGTGTCTAGGTAGGGGACTTTTATATCGGGAGGGTCTTTATTTGGGGGGATTATTTTGTATTGGGATAAGGGATACTGACGAATAACGAAACCTTTTGTCAAGTATAGTGTCGAGACGAGGCATTTTTTTCAATCTACACAAATTGTTCACGAATGATTTTGTGTGTATATATTTGGCCAGAAGGTAGGATTTTAGTTCTTTTTTGAAGACTTGGAACTGTTTTAAATTAAAATGTGAATATATCAAAATATTTGATGGATGTTGGAGACGATTTTACATATAATTTTATCTCTAATTCTGTCCTAACCTTAGCCTATAATCCATTTTTAACAGTGTTTCAGAATAGCAGAATATTTATTTTTCTCCTTTAATCACATTTACTAATTCACTGTACTCAAAATTGTTTGGTTCTCGATTGAATTTCACCACTAAATTCCATTTAGATATATTATCATATTGATGTTTATTATTAGAATTTTCATCATCCAAATAAAATGCTCGCAACCATCGAACCAAACATTTTGCATTCTCTTTACTCAAAATATTCGGTTTCCTGATTTCCCCATGCGCCAAAACCACACCTTTTGTGTCCATTAAATCAATGTAATGCGTGAGCACGAGTAATGGCTGAGACTCGGCGGCGAAAGTTTTGTATTCTAGTAGCGAGGTGAAGAAACATTGGTGATATTGAAATTGCAGAATGTAGAATTCAAGGCCCGTTAGGTGTGTGAGAGGTATTATAAACTAGGTGGTAATGTAATTGTTAAAAGAAATTAACTTGCTTGTTAATATTTTTAAGACTGATACATATATAAATTAAGAATGAAAACTTTTAATAACCATAGGAAATTCTTGTCCACGTTTAAACAGTTTCTTGTAAGCATTGACCGCCAGAGTATCCGAGATACATGAACTTTTAGCAGCATGATATTCAGTCCATAGTTGACAAATGGTTTCTGTATCTTGCGATAGTATTTTGTCTATCCTCAATATTTTGTCTAACGACTTTCAATGTTAAAACGCGTAATCAATCAATTAATCAATCAATAGTTGAAATAAAAGCGTAGATTATAATAACAAAACACGTACTTTTACATGGGCCGGTAAATCTTTTTTGCATGATCCAAGATTATCATTATTTTTTTCAGCTGTTATTAGAACTGGATTAGTATCTATAGTTCTGGTAAAACGATTTAATTTTTACTTTGTTCGAACAAACAAGATTTTTTACGTCTTGTATATACCAGAGATCATTCCAAGATCATGCTTTTTTAAAATTTTCGCTTTCAAATCATTAACTGACGCATACCCTTCCCTAATAATTATTATGTAGAATAAGTAAAATATCTTGTTAACCATCATTTTGACAAATATATACCTCTCAGCTTTTTCTTTCAACTTGTGCGCATATCTTTCCATAATAGCATTTTTCTTGGATTTTTCGCTCTCTCTGCACTTATCGTTACAAATGATTAAAAGATAAATAAAATATATACACGATAGATATTTATTATCACAATTTTGGCGTTTTTATCAAGTACCATATATGTACCAGAAATCAACCTAGTGGTAATCCGCCGCGTTTTTTGTGGTATTAATGTTAATCTTTTCGGTCGCGTCAGAAAAAAGAATGATTTTAGTACAGAAGCCATTCTCGCTACGTTTATATTATGCTTAAATCTTTATCATATATTAAAATTACGATGTTTAGCATTGTTACACCCACTGCTGAAAATTTAATGTTTATTAGTAATTTGAACTTTTATTTTTAATAGAAAATATAAAATCTTACAGTATATCTAATTAATTAAGAAATTAATTGAAATATTTATAATAATTTTGAAAAGATAATTTAGAAAATTTAAAATAAATATTAATTTAGTTATTACTTAATAAATATTTGATTTAATTAAGTACATTAATATTAGTAATTCAAGATATATCTATCACTATGATTTCTCTTAAATTTATTTTTATTATAAAAATATTATTTATAAAAATAAAAGAAATATCTAAAGATAAGAAAAAAGAAAAAGCTTTTTAATATTATTATTTAATAAAAAGTTTAAAAAGATTAAAAGCTCTTATTATTATTATTATTTTAAATAAAGAAATAAAGAGAAGTTAATTATATTGAAATGATAAAAGTTTATAATAATATTTAAGATTCAATAAATTAGTTATAGAATTTTGTATTATAAATATGATGTATCAATCTTAGTCACATCAAATACTTTGAATTACAAAGACTTTGTATCCAAATATTTAATTATAAAAAATACATTATTAAATAATCTTTGATAAGCTTTATAATTCAATATATTTTTTTTTAAAGTTTAATAATAATTTAGTAAGCAGTTAGAGTTTTTTAAGAGTCATTTTCATAGTAATAAACTGACTAAGCCAGAATTTTAGCAATTAAAATGATCATGTAAGTGATTATCTATTGATTTATTTTATAATACGTAAATAGTAACTTAATTTATTTTTAGCATATAATTAATCAAAGCATAATAAATAAGAAGAATGATAAAATTAGTAATCTAAAGCTTTATAATAAGAGCTTAGAAATTCCTCTTGAGTCTGTTCAATTTTACTTTACTTGATACATAATATGACTTTCTAATTTATTATAAATAATCAAACTTCTCTAGCATACTTGCTAAAATCTGATAATAAAATTAATATTTTTTTATTATAAAGATTACAGTCTTGTTAGAAAGATTATAATCATATATACTTATATATCAAGCAGATTGATATATAAAATAATAAATTTTGATTAGAGTAACATAGTTTAATGCATGTAAAATAATATTTTTAAGATTTTGAAAGATATAATTATAATATAATCATGAGTATTACTTTACTTCTTTCCAGAATAACTTAATAAAATTGAGTTTATAATGAAATTTTAGATAAAATATATATATATATAATCAACTGTTTTGATAGTTTTTTATAAGTAATTTTTTTGTAATGTGAAATCAGACTAATAATTAAGAATCTGTACTATGTAATATTTTGAATTTACTGGATTAGACCTATATTCTTGAAGAATTTATTGAATATTCTTCAGTTTTGTTATATTATCAACATCTATAAATATTAAAATATAAGAAGAACTATTAGATATCTGATCATCATGAAGAAATGGTTACTTATCTCTATTCTTTAAGTTTATACATAAAATTATCAGAATATTATTGATAAAAGTGATATAATTCTAACTATTATCAAATATAAAAAGCATAATCTTATCAGGATATATTCATTTAAAAATCAGAATAGCTCTTTTGATTATTTATTTTATAATATCATCATTTATCCATCAATCATCTTAATTTAAGTTCAGATAAATAATAATATAGACATTAATATATATAAGACACTTGTAATTAGAAAGTAAGTTATTTACTACTTGATCTTCTTGTGAAAGATAGAAATATCTAATTGATTCACAAATAAAATCACTCATATAAACACTAAGTACTTGTGACTTACATTAGATTTTATTTTTATCTACAAGATTCCAAGTAGTAATAACACTATTATTCACATAAAAAACTAATTTATCATGAGTAATTAGAATAAGTTTGAGAATATTAGGTGAAAGTATTAGTAAAATAACTTGATTCATATTCATATTCTTATAAATAGTGATCTGAAATTGTAGACTAGCTATTTATTTCAAAAATTAATTCTGATAAGTCATCATATCTTTCTATTTATAATTATTAAAGAAAATATTTTTTAAGTAATTCTTATAATTCTAGTCAAGATGATATAATTATTTTCAAGTTATTTTTCTAGAAATTATTTTTTTTTTTAATTTCAAAAGCTAAAATAGTCTTATTCTTTATAAACTTTATAAATTGATAAATAGTTATTTTAAATTTATTAACTCACAAATACTTAATAATATTTAATTTGAAGTTTTTATGAAGTAAGAATAATCTGATTTTTACATAATAGTCATGATATAACATGAAAAATTAATTATTACTTAACTATTAATTAGTCCAGAAGTAAATAACACATGCATATTATGAATCCTTATTAATACTTAAAATAAGAAGTTTGCTAGTTGCTGATTTGAAAAATTCTTTATCTTTAATCAAGTGAAGAAATTGGCTTATTACATAAAATCACATATTATCAGGCTTTTCCTTTAATATAATGTTAAGCAAATTCAAAGTAAACTTATTATTATTATTTTTAGAATTAATTATCTTATCATATAAAAGTTCATTAATCTTGTCAAGAGATTCATTAGTATCACTATTAATTAATCTTTTTGTTATTATTAGAAATCAGTTTGTGATTTTATTGATATTTAAAGCTATTTTTTTTCAAGCTACTTTCTTGTTTTGCAAGATTAATGAGACAAAATCAATATAAAATAATTTTTATCCTTTTATTATCCATGTATTTGATTATTTAGCTTTCTTAATAAGTTATTTAAACATATCTGATCTTAGCCTTTCCAACTTCTCTATAAATTAATTATTATTTAAAGATTTACTTTCACTATTCATCTATAAAATATCAAAGTCTTGTTCATCATAATTAGATTTAGCATATAATTCTTACTCATTATATCTTAACTTAGTATCATTCCAGCACTTTTGAATAATTAAAATATAGTATCAAGTATATTTATGTAACAAATTAGAATAATTATATTAGATTTATATTTTATTTTGCAGATTATTATTATATCACATATTATATCACATATAACTTACTGCATCATAATTATCTGATTATATCAAGAAAAGTCACATAATATATTTGAGTTATTTTAGTTATAGATAGTTTTTTTAATAGAATTTCTCTTTTCTCTTGTTCTATTAATTTAGTTAATGTATTATTAAATTTATATATTTTATTTATAATCATATATTTCTTTATTTATTTATTAATAAGTATCTTCTGAAGATATTATCATATAAGTATTATCTATTATTAATTTATTTATTTTATTATTAATTTTATATAATATTAATTTATTATTTAAAGATACTATATTTGTTCTGTAATTTTAAGTATCATTAATATTAAATAAAGAATAAGTTTAAAATATAATAATCTTGTTTGTCTTGAATTAGTTTTCTATATGAATTTTATTTCAAATAATATCATTATATATCTTGAATCTTCTGTATAAATTTTTCTGATATATTATACAATATAACTAGAAAGATTACAACTTTAATAACAGTGACAAAGATTAATACTATACATATACATGTATACACATATACTTATTAATAACTTCTTTTTTCTTATATACTTTCTTATTCATACTCAATACATATATACTTGTACATGTATACATATATATTTATAATATCTGGTCCTGATCTTTCAAGTGAATAATTTCAATAACTTCTCACCAGTCTTACTAATCTCATCCAATAACAGCAATAATTTACTACTGCTCTTAGTAATAATTATGATACTGATAGTAATGATCAATCAAATTATAATTCTTTTACATCAAGAATTTTTCTCAAGATTCCAACCTACAAAGGAGAATCACATGAGAATATTAATATCTGGATTCTACAAGTAGATACTTGAGACTTGAAATAAAATTTTTATTAATATGGTTAAAAAATTATTTAAAAAATATGATATTTCAAATATGTTAAATAATACAAAAGATGATTTAATTTGGAATAATGAGAAAATAGAAAAAGTAAGAAAAACAAAAGAAATAGAAGAAAGAGAAATTGTAAATTTAGAAGATAAATCTGCAGGCAAAAATTAATATATAATAATATAATAAATATATAATATATTTAAGATGATATTTATTTATAATAATACTTATTCATAATTTTCTTACTTTTTAATCCAACCAAAAAGTGTTGCTTATTTTCAGGTGGTGTTTATTTCCGGAACAATACGGTAAAAATTTATATTCACAAGTTTATATATATTAAAATTCTCAATTTCTCATTCTAAATTTTAATAGTATCACGTGATCAATATTAGCATAAGATTTTTCGTGACCCTTCCACCTCTTAAAATATTACGTAATAAATGTCATTGCCCTTATATAAACTGCTAAATAGTACAGTATTTACTTAACACTAATTGTGCTAATCCCGGGGATCCACTTTGCACATAAATCAGGGATAGATTGTAAGCTGCCTCTCTTTTAAGATCTGTTGAATCATCGTCATCATCATCATTGTTACCGGTTTCTATTTCGGACTCGCGCTAAAATACGTATATTGTTAACGTTGTAATTTGAAAAATTAGAGTTGATAATAAAGAAATTTATACCTGATTTCCTTCTTGCATTAATTGTTTCCGTAACGAGGGCAATTTAAGTACTTGTTCGTAGCATTGTACAGCGAGATGGAAGAGCCCTATTTATGTGTATGATAAATATCTTTTAAAAAGAATACTTATGTCTATTTAAAAAAGCCTTACCCAAGTGATGAAAAGCTCGCCCAAGATTATATTCTGCTTCTTGTTTACCTGTTTGCAAATCATAATACTTTAATAAGAAAGTAAATCCCTAATCAAAAACACAGCACAAAGGTGTACAAGTTAGCAACTGTCTGATGGCCATAACGCATTTAAAGTATGTGAAGTAAAAAAAAAGAAACCAAATAACCTGCATGATTTGAAGATGACGATTATCAGATTGCCGTTGCATCGACATATGAAGATACGCGATTCCTAAACAGAGATTGATTAATGGGTCATCGGGAACAAGTGAATGCGCCTGTAAATAATATCCTAAAAAAATTAACGCGTAAAAAAATAAAACTTTGATAATTTTGTACGGCTAAAAATAAAAACAATATTATGTACCAATTGCAAAGACATAGCTTCTTGCACATGCTAGGATATGCCCATATAATACAAGTAAGGCGGCATTCCGTTTCGTAGGCTGAAATGTGCTATTATTGTTTGGTTGTTGTTTATGCTGCTCGGATGTTTCCTGATTTTGCGGCATGGAAAAAGAGTTGATTCCTGTATTGTTTTTCTTTCCTTCAATAGCATAATGCATAGCTTTAATTTGCCGTATAAAATATTTTTGTGAGTTAGCAGAAGCAAAATTCTCTACTGCTTTTGTTCCACTATTAACGAAAAAGTCTCATTAAAAGAATTATTTTAACTAATCAAATATGAAAATTTGTATATTTTATATTTTATACCTCGTCATAGACGCGCAATAAATTTGATACACGTTGCTACGGAATTGAGTGTTCGTACAAAGCCATCTGGCACATTCACACACGATTTCGTAATTCTCACTATAAAGACCACATGCTTTTTTAAGTAATTAAATGAATAAATTAATTGAAGACGTTGTACCTGGTTGCTGTATGATCGTTATTTTAAAATAGATAAATGAATTACTGATAAAAAAATAAAAATTCAAGCTTTACCCATCAATAACATTTTTAACACGAATCTTCGACCTTCATTATGATAGAATACGTTAGCTGCACAAGCAGCTTTGAGAACCTCGTATGCTTCTTTTTCATTTCCATTAGTCACAGCGGTAATCGCATACTATTTATTCATAGGTAAAAAATTATTATCATAATTATCATTGCTCGAGAAAACTATTTATTTTTATTTGTTAAAGAATAAACCTTTATGAAGAACTCGAGCCAATCTTGAAAAGATTTGCCGAGAAATTGGGTGCGATTAATATCGAATCCTGGAGCGCCATCATCGTCTGCAAATCCGGCTTTTTAATTTGTTTCATAATTAGATATATTAATGATACATTATACAACCAAACTGTGTATTTATATTAGTAATACCGATTTGTCGTTTTAGTCTCTTTGCCATATTTTTTGCGGTTTCTTCGATATCAGCATCGACAGTATCATCAGCTGCACCAAACACATTTTTCCGACGAGCTCCACGCCGATGTGGTATCCCAGTAAATCGTTTCATCTGTTTTTTAAAAAAAAATAGACGCGCAAAAAAAGATTAATTATATTTAAACATATAAAACCTAATAATAAGAAGAATACTAACCCGATCCTTAGGATAGAACGCTTTTGTATTTTTCCATTCTTGCATTATGAGTCGTGCAGTCGTAAAATATTCATCGAGTGCCTCTTGATCGCCCAACGCAGAACGTGCACTCAAGAGATCCAGCTTATGAAAAAGCATTAATATCTCTGCTTGCTTTTCAGCTTCTTTGGCTTGTCGTGCTTCCTGTGCTTTAGCATACGCGATTGATTTTGCCTCTTGCCTTTTTTTTATTATGGAGACTTTATTAGTGTCAGCTTGTTGTGATAATGAGTAGTCTTGGATTTGTTGTATTTCTGCTTGGTCCGTAAAATTATTATTTCCATAAGTATTTAAAGATGATTCAATTGTTGAAGGATGATGAGTATTTCGAGCTGCTAAAACTAGATGATAAAATATTGTTTGAGAAAAAAAATCAATTTCCACTGTTATTCGATCAGATAATATATAGACTTGGAAAAATTCATTTGGCATGCCTTGATTCACTATTTCTAATGCTTTTTTATTTTCACCCATTTCCTCATAGATCTCAGCAAGAATGATTGTTATTTCTAAATTCCCCGGATTTTTCTTAATCGCTAATCAATTGGATAGAATACATTAAATCAACAATTTATAAAAATCAAATTATTATTACACCGAAAACACCCAAAATTACCAATATTATAAAACTCTGCGGCAATATCCAAATTTCCTAATTCTCGATGACACAATCCCATTTGTGACCATGTGATCGAACTATCAACCTACAAACAATAACATTGGTAATAAAAGTTCTCCAGTTGTTTTAAAGAGAGAAATGAAACAAATCAGATTCCCAAAAAACTCTGAATATGCTATTAAAAATAATAAATCATTGGATTGTAATCCTAATAACTAATTACTTACTGTTTTGTCGGCAATGATCATTTCATATACATTAAGCGCGTCATTGAATAGAGACTTCTCAATAAAAGTTTCTGCTACTTCATAGTACAAGTCCAGATATTGATTAACAGAATTTTCAAATAGATAGTTGAAATGAAACTGCCAATATGATAACAATATTATTAATGACAAAACGAATATGAAATAATAAATTAATGTATTTGCTTACCTTTCCTTCTTCAATTTGATCTAACATCAATCGGCACTGTCCCAACTTTACCCTCAACTCCATTGGCAAAGGCTCTTTTGAGCCACCAGCGTATAAGCCACTCTTTGAAAAACTATTTTTTCTCCTACTATCTTCCTCATCATACTCATGATCATCTATCATTACATCGCTCCACCATTTTTCATTTTCTCGTCCTTGTAGCCACCTAACCGCACTCTTTATACACTCAATGGCTTTCTGATATTCACCAACAGAGAAGTATAGTTCGGCCATAATATTTACATCGGATAAACTAAAAATTCCGTCGGTATCCTCTAAATTGTTTAATGACAAGAGATTGTTGATTTGATAATATTGGAGAGCGTCTTCGTATAATGAGATGGCTTTCTCAAGTTCGTTATTACGTGTATAAATACTAGTTAATTGTTTTATTACGTTCATATCATGTGGAATTATTTTTAGCAAATGGTTAAATCCATCAATCGCCTAATTGAATTAAAAAGTTATTTATATAAATGTAAATATAAAGATAAATGGCTGTCCTGAAAAATCAATCAAGCCCAAACCTTTTTGTATTGTCCAGATTCATTTAGAAGAACAGATCGATCCCAAATTGCGTCCACGTCAGAAGGATCAACTCTAAGAGCTTTCGAATAGCAATATATAGCTTGATCTAAGGCATTTTGCTTTCTACCAGAAAATATTTAATTCATTAAAAGGTTAATCCTAGTACATTGATAAATTAACAAATATAAGAAAAAAGTCATATAAGAAAAAATATACTTGCTAAGGAACCCCAATCTTTTCCATTCTTCCCCATTTTTAGGTGTGAGATGAGCAGCCACTAAATATAATTGCAACGCCTTCACTGGCTCGCCGACTTCATCATGGATCAGTCCAAGCGTATGCCATGCCCGATAAATATTCGGGTCCTTTTTCAGAACCTCTTGGAGTACATTGATCGCATCACTAAATTCTTTGTTTATATAGTGTTGATTAGCTTCACCCATCAAAGTGCGAATTTCGGGTGGAATGTTCTTTCTTCTTGGTCCTCTCTAAAATTGATAGCCTTATTAGCGTAGCCCTATTATATCTGGAAGCGAAAAAAACGAGCATGTTCATAATACACGCCTTTCGTTTGTAAGTAGGTTTTCCAATCCCGCTCGTAATTCGTAGCTCTACGTTGAATTGACTCCATTCTTCCTCCATATCTATATTTTCCCAAAGATTCGGGATGTGTTCACCTTTTGCAAGATCACGTCCTGCTTCTTTTGCTTTTGACAAGAGCTGGCTTTTAGATAATAAGAACTAGCTAAGAATGCATGTACACAGGTTTCAAAAAACAATTGCACATAATGAATGTCAAATTTTCATACTTGAATCCATCGGGTATCTCTTCTTCGTCGTTTTCTTCGACTTCAGTTTCGAGTTGATTATCGATACTATATATGAAAGATAAACGCTTAGATTATTTATTTTTTCTAAGGTTGTTCACATATACTTTAATCAACATCGTCAAAGTTACTTCATAAGAAAATCTTCCTCATAACTCGACTCTAAATCCTCAAAGTCTTCAAAAACTGCTTGTGTTGAAGTCGGCTCAACAAATGTAGGTGCTAATGTTGGATCAACGTTAAGATCCAGGTCAGCCTCAAATTGAACTTCAGTGGGAAGAAGCTGAAGCATTGAGGTGTCGACCTCGGCATTTAATAAATCGAGGAAGGTAGCCGGCTGTATTTGTCTTTGGTCGTCCATTTTTCCACAAGAAATGAAGAGAGCATATAACGAGAATGAAAATAAATTTTGAGATTCGATGGGTTATGTCACATGCTCACTATATACGCGTAGTGATTGTAGAAATTACATTTACTAGATTTTAGTTTATTTTCCAAAACCAAAAGATGTACACGGCAACCGAATGCATTGAAAACCCTCTTGGAGTTGTCAAAAAACTCTTTGGTAAGCTTTTAACACGAGTTAATAATTATACCTACCGCAAAAAACGCGCCTTGACCCGCTAGAACAAATATGTGTACATAGACGCGCACAAGGGTTCTACTAATGTTGGAATTGGTAATGATTATGAAGTCTCTAAAAACTTCAAAAATGTGTTTGCGACAGAGGAGACTATAAAACTGGTATCATACTTTTTATTCACCATTGCTATGCTACCAAAAACTTGTATTCAAAATTAGTTTTTAATTCATTTTTGAATTAGATTCCATCAATAAATGATATTTGCGCCGACAACATTCCTTCAAATACGTTAGTTCGATTTCGATGTATGATTCAGAATACAGGACTTGGACACGAAATGTATTTGAACGTGTTTGAGACGTTTGATTCGAGTGGCACTAAAGTAAATCAATTTTTTGTTTACAACTTGTGTACATTATATTTAATTGGGTATTGAACTAATCAATCAATTCTAAAAGCAATGGAATTTTCATAAATACAGCGACGACTTTCTTCAAGTAAAATCCGAATTTAAATTTTCTTGTAATTTGTTTCTTATTTCCATTTCCGCGAGATATTTATAATGATAACCGATTTCGGCCAATTTTTTGAAAAAAGGAGGGATCACATATCAATAGTAGTAATAATGGCGTTAATAGTTTTAGTTCTATTGCCCTTGATTCACCAACAACTGTCCTCGATGAACGCTACCTATATTACTGCGTGTCTGTACCGGGCGAAACAAATTGGGCAAAAAAAATATCCTTAATTTTTTTAAATTTTTATCTTTATAAAAAAAGGACAACAATTATTGCTTTTTCTTTAATCTGGATTTTTTTTTTCCTTAACGCGTTTCTGATTTATTTTAATTTACGTTTATAAAGGAAATAACAGTAATGTCATTAAGAAAAAGCCAAACGATGATGATAGCGTGGAAGGTATGACTTCTAATGGAATTTTCTCTCAATTCACAAAATAAAACTTAAAGTGGTATTTATTTTATATATTTGAAAAAGATCTTGATCGATTAGCAGCAAATCTAAATCTTTTTTATGATGAACAAAAACATCTACAAGATCACCATCGTCGTCAACTTGAAAAAAGTTATGTGGCTTCAAAGTTTCCTTTTCCGGATGAAAGTCATGTGTCTGCTATCGTGAAGGTAATGAATCTATGAGATGTATGTGATTACTTCTTTCTCTTTTTAATTTGACCATTAATTTATTAGGTTTATGAAAAAAATGATTCACTCAAAGTAGGCGATGTCATAGAGTTTATTGGTGTATTGGAACATTTTACATGGTATGCTGGGACCATGAACATTAATAAACATGCTATTAAAGTCTAAGCTCAATTCAAATAATTATTGCACATTAACGTAATAAAGGAAGGATTCAGGCAACAATGACGAATTCAATCCGTCAAATGATTTTATTGATCCAACCTTACTTTTAAGAGTTCCCCGTCTTCACGCAATCTTTTATAGAAAACTGCATCAGTCGAGTAATCCATTGATTTCAGAAATGAATTTGAAAAATAGTTTGTGATTTTTTTTTATTTTACTGCCTTTTTAATCGAATTTCATATTCTTACTAATTATTATAATAAATTTTTGGACTAGCTACCTTGAAAGTTCAAGAAGCTGCAAGAGGTACACGAAACTCGTTGATTCAGTATATTGCATCAGCATTTGCCGGGGATTTACTCGTAGCTGAATTTGTTTTATTGCAACTCCTTTCCAGAATGTAAGACCAAATTAGCCAATAAAAGGCTTAAAAAACTTGTTTTTATACTATAATAAGAACAAGAATAATGAAAAAAAAAAATCTTAACAATTGTCACAGATACAATCGTCGAGACGGCATAACACTCGGAAAATTCGGAATTAACATCACAAATATTCCATCTTTACAAATAGACGAAGGCACATCCTCATCGGAAACATACCCATTGCCCTTATCACACACTAATCTTTTTACACGAAATGTGGCCACGATATTATCGTCAGTCCTGACAAAGTATCATGATCTACCATTGACACTTTCCACTCTTAATAACGTGTTTTTCTATCCGAGATGTGATGGTGTTTTGGATTCGGGTGTGTTTCAAGTGAGCGATGGGACTTTTTTCTTGGTTGATGAGACGGTGTTGAAAGAGGGCACATTGGGTGATACCGGTAAATTTGAATCTTTAGTTTTGGTCACATCCAATTTGACCATTTTAAATTATATAAATCGTTTGATTATTTTCACACTTTTATAGGTGTCCGTAATATGCAGACATTGACTGATATCCTAAATACTCAAAAGCTAAATTACTTGTTCCCATTCAATAAATTTCAATTCAATATCGACATTGGACTAATAATCCTCTCAACTGCTAAATCCTTTTTCCCGGTATCTATCCAGCGGAAGTTTTTAATCATCTTACTTCATTGTGTTACTATATAATTAATCCTTTTTTTCACTTTTTAGGCTGATTGTGTCATTCCTTTAAAGCCTTTGAACACCAAAGAAGCAATGCCGTTACTTTCTGAGGAAACGCTAACAGAATTCCGAAAGTACATTAGTATAATGCGGTACTCGGATTACTCAATCTCCGAGTCAATCTCTGAGGTATGTATTATGTACGATGACGAAGCATGATTATGGCATCGATAAGTTTATAGAAATAAGGTTAATGTTATAGAATAGGATTCAACCTTATGTTTATTTACTTTTTTGTCCATTTATAGGATTTCCTTTTGTTCATTTAAGACCTGCCATTTACACAAATTAATATTAAAATTTTTTTTACTAATTTAAAATATAGTTTGTGCAAGATGATTTTGTAAAACAACGACAAATAGCTGCGAGGAATGGCAGGTCATTAATGACGCCAGACGATTTGTTCCTGCAGATGAATCTTGCGAGGTCTGTTTAGTCCGTGTGTCCATGTGTTTTGTTTTGTCTGCCTCTTCTTATTTTATTTGCCTTTTCATTTACTTTGCCGTGATTTCCATTATCATTACTGTTTATTATTCATTATTAAATGCATTGCTATTAATGTCACTTTTCATTTATCTATCGTATTGCTTTATGTTACTTTTGAAGCAAACATGACATTTTTAAATTTGCTAAATTTTGCTCTTTTTATCTTGTTATTGATATCTATTTTTAGATTGATTACTCTAAGTTTTGGAGAAACGGAGTTGACGACGGAAATATGGGAGTATACTCAAAAATTGGAACATGCCCGAAAAGAACGTCTTTAAAAGAAATAAAAAGGCAAACAGTGGCAACAAAAAACAGCGTAAAAAAATCACATAAGTAAATGGATAACAGTTCCAATAAAAATTTAGTTAAAAAACAAAATATCACCTAAATTAGGTAAATGTCAAAGAATCTTAATTTAACTTACAAAGATTTTTTTTTAAGCTCTACCGTTGTTCACTTCACATCTTTGGATTTCTTTGTGTGGAAGACGATCTTGTATGATACAGGAAACTGTATGAAAATTTTTTTTGCCAAAATAAACATAACCTTAAATTGAATGATTGGTTTTATATTGTAGTCTAAATTAAATATATATTGTTCCAAAAAATCATCATATGTGACAATACAATAATATTTACAATATCGATATAATATATACATTTTGTCATTAAGTCATTATACCTAAAACTATATAAGCAACTGATCGATCCACACCTAATTAAAATTTGAGATTTCTGCAACCCATCATCCATTATTCACACCCACATTGTTCTCAATCAATAAATAAATAAGCAACCAATTTTCCTCCATAGTAGTAATAATAATAATAATGAGTGGGAGCTATGCATACCAGCCTTTAGCTGTTGAAGACGATACTCTTTTTAAAGACGAAGACCATTTTTTCGGGTATGCATGTACTATATTGTTGCCTTTATTTATGGATACGCGTCATTTGTATCGTTATAAGATTAGATAATCAAACAATTTCTATTCTGTTATGTTTATTTTTGATTAACCTTAAAAATACACCCCACGCTACAGGTCCCCTATACCACTCGACGAGGCAGAAAGATACCACCAAAAACTAAAGCAACAAAGTTCTTTTGACCGCTTATTTATTCGTCGTTTTTTTAATATCATACGGCTACTATTTTCACGGTCAAATCCTGAAGGAAACATACTATGGGTTTTCATAATTTTCATTGTGATAAGTTGTGTCTGCGAGGTTACAGTGTATTATGCTGGGATTATACCAAGTCGGTTTTTCAAAACACTGGTGGGGCAGGACTGGTACAGTTTTAAGTCAATAGTTGCATTATCTATTGCTGTTACGCTGAGCGCCGCTTTGGTATGTATTATCTCGTGACCTGTTACTCTTTTTTTTTTTTGTTGGATCCTTTTAGAAAATAACAAGATCCCTGTACAAATATTTACAGGCAAAAAGCTTGGTTAAGTTTATGGGTGGTCTTTTTGCATTAACGATAAGAAGAATATTAACTATACATATGCAACGACGATATGTGCAAAAAAATACATTTTACCCTCTATTGACAAACCTAACAAATATTGATAATCCGTAAGTAGTTAAAATTTGAATTCACTAAATTAAATTATTTTATTAATAATCCTTTCATTCAACTCCTATATGTGTACATAATAGGGACCAACGAATAGTTCAAGATATTGATAAATTTGCAGAAACTTTACGATTAATCTGCGAAGTCATATTAATTTCACCTATTATTATCGCCTACTATACATACCTATGCTGGTCAGTTTCTGGATTCTTGGGACCCCTGGTGATTTATATGTACTTTATTTTTGGCTCTATTCTTAGCCGATTTTTCATTGCGCCTATTGTGAATCTGGTATTTATGAAAGAGTATCACGAAGGAAATTTTAGGTGAGCAATTGCTTGATACGGGATACTGAAGGAGAAAAGAATTAGTCGATTCCATCATTTGTTTTATTATACGTTGATTAATATATGTTTTTTATATTAGATATTTACACGTGAGAATACGTCAGTTTGCGGAATCTATCGCATTCAGTGGGGGTGAACGGGCAGAGGTAAAAAGCCTAGATTCCCGTTTACGATCTGTTCTATATTACCAAAGAAAGATCATCGATAAAGAATTATCATTACAAGGTATAATGGAATGTTTTTTATTAGAGGTTTTCTTCATCTGAATCCTTTTTCTATTCCAGATTTTAGATTAAGTATAACATCGATGATAATAAAAATACACTAATAATTCTTCCTTTCCGTATTTATTTGTTTCTCAAAAGTTATCACCGACTCATTCGCTTACTTTGGATCGGTCTTGAGCTACCTGCTCATCGCTATTCCTATATTCAGCCAGAAGTACGAAGGGATCGGGAAAGACGAACTTAGTAGAATAATAAGTTTGGTATGCTTTATTATAGATTGATTGTTTTTTCTTATCATATTTTTATTAAAATGCATTTCTCTTTGTTTCCATAATTGGTCATGAAATTAATTTCTACACGAATAAACAAAATACAAACACGTACACAAAAATTGCACACGCTTTTAGAACGCGTTCATGTCAATGTATCTCATATATAGATTCACCGTAATTGTACAACAGTCAAGCAAATTATCAGATTTAGCGGGTTACACGGCGCGTATCGGGCAACTAATGGAGGCGATCTCCGATATTAATAATGAACTGGATAATGTAAATATTGATTTTCCGTTTGATGAGCAACAGCAGCAGCAGCAACAAATAAGGTTAGTTGATAATGTTACGATTCCGTGTTCTACTTTAATTCTCGATTAATTTTTTTTTTTTTTGGTAAACCACTCATTAGAGCAGAATTGGCAATAGAATTTGAAAACGTGACAATTAGTTCTCCCACCGGTACAGTACTAATTTCCGACCTCAAATTCGTGATCGAGCAAGAAAAAAATGTTATGATTATTGGACCCAACGGAAGCGGCAAGACGTCAATTCTGAGAGTGATGAGCGGCCTCTGGCCAGTCACGCGAGGATGTGTCGTGTTGCCACAAAAAAATACTAGGCAAAAGGTTTTGATGTATTTGCCGCAAACGCCGTATTTGGTTTTTGGATCGTTACGTGATCAAATAATTTACCCGATGACTAGTTCTGATAAACAAGTTAAAAGTATATATATCACCTTGTATTTATATTCCTATTGCTATTGTTTTCTTTTGTGCAAATTATTAATGAAAATTATTATTACCAGTCACAGACGACGAAATTCGATCATTATTATCACTTGTTAATTTATCACACATTGAAAGTGTCGTACGGAGTTTTGATATAAAGTATGGACAAGATTGGGAGAGAATGTTGACCCCTGGGGAACAACAGAAGCTGGCATTTGCTCGATTATTTTTCTGGAAGCCTGTTTTCGCAGGTAAACCATTATTGAATAATATCCGCTCATCCACATCGCTTCTCTTTGTTAACATTACATCCATATTTATCCGATAATTTATTTTAACACAGGAATTGATGAAGCAAGCAGCGCTCTCGACTCAAATACCGAGGCACAATTTTTCGAAACATGTAAAGAATATGGCATCACTTGTATCACCGTATCGCATAATAAGAACTTGTTGCAGTTCCATGAAAAAGTGCTGTTATTGGATGGTAAGGGGCGGTATGCGACTAGTGATATAGATATAAATGGGTCGAAGGATATTGAACGGTGGATCGAGGGTACATTGAAATCACTATCGTAGGAATTTATCAGAGATGCGCAAATGGTGAAAGGAGGGTTTTGTAAAATATGGTTTTTAAAGTTTAGATGCTTTTTTTGCAAATTTGCGATTTGAAGAACGTTATGAATGGGATATGGACGCGCATCATGAACAATTTTGTAATTAGTAAATTTTTGTTGGAATGCGAGTCTGTAAATTAGATGATTATTGGGGTTCCTTTTTCGATTGAGGTGGCTCATGTTCATTGCAACAGCTACAATCTCGAATACTTATAGCTATCTTTTATTCTTTTTGTCATAATTAACCTATTATGTAATGGCGAAAATCTTGACCAACAATCATGACGCAGTTTGTAAAATAACTCGAATATCAATTATAGTGATCTGTCTTCACATATTTCATCAAGTATCTCTGCTTTAATTCGTGCTTCCCGAAATCATTCAATGGGTAAAGTGATTTCCTGATAACAAAGTAATTTCTCGCTGAGATTTGCCTTTCTCTTGCTCACTTTTGGCTCTTTCCGTCGCTCGCTCCCACCGTTCGTTTGGAAATAACTTGTACCATTTAAACCACTATTATAAACAGTTGCAATTATGTCATTAATAAAGTTCTTAACAGCAAACGCGACAGCCCTTCTTTAAAGCAAGGCGGAACTATTCAAGTCACTAGAAATTTCATTATGAGAGATTTTAAAATTGTTTTAATTACAGATTGATCTCACGCTTGATCTTTACGATTGGATTGGTAGATTATCACGTGGCCATTTCTTGGAAATTCATAAATATGTCGAATGTTATTCGATTTTATTTCTCAAGATTATTTTTAAGCGAAAATGTCAGATTCTTTGCCATATGCCGCCGAAGCCGAAGCTCCTTTAACTCCAGATGAACTTAATGTATATTATAATCTTTCTATTGTTGGATTTCGTTTCTTTTAGAGAACGAAACTGCTTAAACTAATGAAGTTTGTTCGTTGACGCAGGTTTTACGTAAACAATACATTCGGGAAGGAAAAGAGGAAGCGACAACTCAAACAAAATTTAATTATGCATGGGGATTAATAAGAAGTAAAAGCAAGCATGATCACCAGATGGGAGTTTCGCTATTAACAGGTTGAATTTAACAACTTGACTATGAATTTTCTGATGATGATGATGGATCCTCTGATTCTTTTAAAACTCAAATCGTGGATTTGAATTTTTTTCTTCTCTAGAGATCTTTAGAAATTCCCCAGAACGTCAACGTGAATGTTTGTATTATCTAGCGCTCGGGTATTACAAATTAGGAGAATACAGTAAAGCTCGGGAATATAATTCTAAACTTTTGGAACATGAACCGAAAAATTTACAGGCAGAGTCGCTGAAACATCTGATAGAGGATGGAGTGAATCGAGGTAAACTAATTAACGTCGTCAATATGAAACATTTGGATATTTCATTAATGCTTGATTTTATATATGCAGAAGGAAAAGCCGGGCTCTTAATAGTGGGCGGTGCAGTTGCTGTTGCCGCAGCTTTAACCTATTTTTTTTCGCAAAAAAAGAAATGAATAATAATGATAATGATGATGATGATGTCGATGTTGATGTTGATGTTGATGATTTAATTATTAATAATTATTTGCCAAAAAAGAATAATCATTCACTATTAATGCTAAGTCATTCATCTAATTTTTTTTTTCTGACCAAATTTCTTTATTATTACTATTATTGAAATGTACAATTATTACAAGCAATCATTTGATTGATTGTTTAGCTTTTCCTTTTATTACCAAATGTCCTTAATATTAGTTATTAATATTAGGCAGAGATAATAGCGAATAAAATATAACAAAAACCTCAATTTTTCCATCAGAATTTATTTGATCGATAATTCCACCATATTAAAAAAGGAAGTTTCCAATCGCGCACACTCAATTTTGGCTCAAACACGTTAAAATTATATTTCTCCAATCGTTTGAGATAACTGTCACAAGCAATCTTGAAGATTCAAGTGAAAATAAAAATTATCATCCAATTTTCAAGGATATAGAGAAATCAAGAACACAATATACGTCAATCAAAATTACCGAAGACAAAAAAACTGGCATAGCTTCTCGTTGAATTTCTGGCAGGAAAGATCTCGCCGTCAACAAATGATCATGTGCAGTGGTCGCCACCTCAAAAACTGCATCTTCGAGTCCTTTAACAGTAGGACCCTCGCGAAAAATTGCTTCCTCGGAGATTTTGAATTTTGCCAGCGTGTCCGCGGGTAGATACATCCTTCTCTTACTTGCCAGATATGGGAACGCGCGTAATATTGTCACGATCCCTGTTGCTTTGCCGATATGACTTGCCGCGTGATCTGCTTGTATGTTTTTTATGCCAAGTAATTCTAGTTGTAGATAGAGAAGACAGGAAGCTGTGTTTTCTCCATAGGATTCCAGATCTCTAATAGACATGTATGGAGGATCGTCTAAATTTGCATCCTGTTGTTGTTTTTCGGACATTACTCATTGAAAATAGACTCAAGGATAAGATGAAGTTGCATTAAATCGTATAAATTTTACCCGCTCATTGATAATCCGCTTGAAGAAAAGAGACGATAGTTTACAATGTTCTAATGTGCTATTTAATAAAAGTGCGACCGGATGATGCGGTGGGTTTCCCTTATTTATTATCAAAAAATAATATGAATTAGTGAAAAGCATTATTTCATATGAATTATATTGATTTTTATACCTTGAAAATGCTATCAATTGATTCACGCCAAAATTGCATTCTCATTTTGCCAATGAGCTGACTACTAACACTTCCACGTACCATCGCAAGTTCGACATTGAATGCACGAATGGCATAATACGCGTATTGTAGGTTTTTTGGGTAGAGTGCTGAGCATAGATAGTTTTCGTAATCATGTTTTCTGGTCTTGGATTAATTTAATGAAAAGAATTCGAAATCATTATTTAGATTCATTGGGAATCACTCTCCCCCTTTTTATTACCTTACTAGATCTATGCAGTATTTTAATGCATTTTCAGGTTTCTCAAGTGAATGTGATGGTTGGGTTGAAAATGAGTTGTTTCTATTTTTTATAATATAATTTTTATTATTCAAATCAAAACAAGCATTGTATTTTCCATATTGCTTGTCTGTAATCGAAACTACCCGTGTAGAACGACGTGCTAATAATCTTACAAGCAACATATTCGGGTGAGGGTGTATGTTAAATGCATGCGAAGATCACTAATCTCCATTGCTTTATGCCATTGGCATATCGCTCAGAATGTGTCATTTTCTAAATGAAAAATCACTATTTATTATATAAATTATGATAATTTTGGTTAACTCTTCAGATCTGCCAGAATTTTCATCATGATCACCCGAAATAAAGTTATCGTTACAAAATCCGTGACTACATTATCGTTATCGTTACGAAATTTATATACTGTTAAAACATGTTTAAGTTAGAATAGAACAATGCACATCTAATAATTCAATTATTATAATAGTTATTATTTATACTTTACAGCCAGGTTTTCTTTTTAACTTCAAGTTGACTTTCAAGCTGATTTTAAATTCAAAACAACTTTCAATGATGACACATAAAGAATACACTATAAGCCATAAAATTTACCCAGAACAATAAAAGTGAAATTTTACTTAACATCGCGTAAAAAAATGTAGTAATTAATCCTTTTCGTAAAGTGAAAAAATGAAACGCCGACTTTTCCTGTAAATAGGAAATAGATAAACAAAATTAATAGCCATAAATGGAACATGTGTTTTTAATCTCCAAAAAGTGAATTAAAATATTGACAAAGAACCACGAGATTTGCATTAAATTTGATATTAAAAGATAGGTTCAAGCGTAGGAAATTCATCAAATCAATAGTATTCAACTAGATTTGAGTAGACCTCTCCAGTACGTACTATTATCGTTATCCAAAATACCATTTATACAGACCAAAAATTATCAAATTTATTGTCGGCGCTGGCGGCGGTTTAAATTTATTTAAAAATAGAATTGTTTTACATAATAATTTTATCTAAAATTTTATTTACAAAACGATAAGATATATAATTAAAGGATTATTTTTTATAAATATTAATATTTCGTCTGTTTCTGTTCATTTTTTATTAATAATAATTCAATAATTTTGTTTTTTTAAAAACTGAAAAAATTTATAAGTAGATTTTCATTTATACATTATCTTAAGATGTATACAATAATTTAAATAGTATTTTGAAAATAACTATAATTATATCAGCTGAATAACTTTAATTGATTACTCAAGACAGATTCTTAATATATTTTTTGAAATATTTGTAAATATTCCAGTTTAATACAATTGTAAATAATCTTTAATATTTCAAAAACTATCTTAGAAAACAGTTATTTGTGCATTAAGTAATATTGTTCAACTGATCGATTTACACTTATAACATAGATTTCAGTGAATAAATATTTTTTAATGGCCATCCCGCCATTGCTTTCTGCCAGAACTGTATTATTTATTAGAAAAATTCGATTTTGAAGTCTCTATTACTGAAGAAAAACCACGTATTCTGCCAATGTTGTTATGGGATTGAAAATTTTACACTTCTTTCCAAGTGGCTGTTTCCATATACAAGACCCCCATGATAGTATACCCTCCCACGTACACCAGTCCCCCGGGATGATTTATGCGGCAAATTACGATAAATTAAAATAGAACAATGCACATATCTGATATTCACTTAATATAATAATCTTTATTACTTATACTTTAGTCGGAAGACGACTTTCAAGATAACTTTCAATGTCTTTAACTTTAGTCGGGTTTTCTTTGCTTTCAACTTCAAGGCGACTTTCAAGATAACTTTCAATGTCTTTAACTTCAAAACAACTTTCAACTATGGTATATAAAGAACATAACATAAGCCATAAATCTGCCCAAAACAATAAAAGTGAAATTGTGCTGACCGAATTTAACATCACGTAATAAAAAATGTAGTAACTAATCCCATTCATAATATTAAATAATGAATACCCAGCGTTTCCTGTATATAGTAAACAGCCACATTGAAGCAAACATCCTAATACCAAATTAATAACTATATAGGGTACATGAGTTTTAGCATCGAAACCAGCTTTTAAAAAAAGTGAAAAAAGATAAATACAAAGCGAAGCGCACCAGATATGCAGTAAAATGGATAGTATAAGAAAGGTCAGGGAAAAGCTTTCAAATAAAGTGGATAGGTAATATTCTAATAGAGTTGATCTGAGCTTTCCCTTACGTATCCAAGTCAGTACTATCATCGTTATCCAAAATATCATTGACACTGAACTAAAAATTATCAAATTTATTGTCAGCGCACTGAAACCTTCCGTTACGTGAAAGAATATAGGCGGAAAAATGTATCCCACGAATAGTTCCGAGGCGATAAAGATCATTATCCTGAGATTTTTAAATTTACGTGTTGGAATCATCGTGATTAAAAGGATTATAGTGACAGCTATGTAAGGCTTGTATTCCTCTGTATCAAAATTAAACATGTCGGAAAGGGATAACCTTGCTGAGACAGCAGGAACGGCAGGAAATAAACAAGCCAGGAAGAAAAGAAACTTAAAAAAGGTTTTTCCTAACATTGTTTCTTTATTGTCGGTTATATAAGCGAGAAAAGAGAGTGAGAAATGAGAGAAAGAAAGTAGTGATAGAGGGAGAGTAGCGAGAGAGAGAAATGAGAGAGAGAGTAGCGAGGGGAGGGAGAATAGTGAGGGAGTGGAGTGATAAAAAGAGAGAGAAATTATCGTGAATACGTATTTTCTAGTTATCCATAACAACTTTATATAAGCAGAATACGTCGTGTTTTTATGGTATGAAAATACAAACTCAAATATTGTGCTACATCTGAAATTCTAACCAGTAATTTCGAAAGTTCTTTCAAATGTGAATGTTAGACAAAACAATGAAAAGAAAATAGAGAGCATTTGATTGGATAAACATTATTTAAGGCTAAAGGATTTTTAATATTTTTTCAAAATAAGAAATAATATAAAGATGAAAATAACGACAAGGTTATAGTCAAACACAAACGCTTGGGGTTTTAGTTTCACTGGGTCAACAATATTAGTTTAATAACCTTTCTTGTCATTCAAATATCGTAAAATGATCTCTAACTGCTTTTTAGCGTGACTAAATTAACTACTGCTATTTTTCCTTGTCATATAGGTGATTGTATTATTATCTTTTTATTGTTGCCATTCAAGGGAACCATCGTTTCCTTTTTGTTGGTAATTATCTACGCCGTCAAGTCTGTGCAGTGTGAAATATTTAAAATTACGTATTTTGTCAATTGTCAATTATAATACTTTTGTCGACGCAGCTTCGAAATTATCGTTATCGTTATCGTTATATTTTGGGTCTCAAATGTAGATCTAACGCTAACCTAAACCCATTTGGCAATTGTGATTTGTGTGACAAATATCACGTGTTTTGGTCTGAATTATGACAAAAACCGAAAATTTTCGATGTTATCCCAAATTCCAACTTCTCATTTTTATTTTTAGCCGTTTTGTTAAGATGGTGAGTTAAACAGAAACTTGATTTTGCTGTTCAATTCATGTGTAAATTCGCTTTGAGACAACCTCTGGAATGACGTCAATTACTCTTTAAGATATTTTACATAGTGATATTTAGTCGTCACGGAAAAATACGTTTAAAAAAGTGGTATCACTTTTTCTCGGAGCGGCAAAAAACACTAATTCCCACCGAGCTTACAACTTTAATATTAAGTCGTAAACGGTCAATGTGTAATGTTTTGGAATTTGGGGAGCATAAGGTGAATGAATATATTAAAATTTTTATTTTTATGAATTCAAATTAATCTTTTTGGATCCTGTTACAATAATTGAAGGTTATTTATAAGAGGTACGGATTTTTTGAATTCCATATCACTTGACTTGATGCATTAAAAAATCGATTGATATTTAATGCTTCTAGAAACTAGTTAAAAGATTTATATGATACTCTTTATAGATATGCAAGTCTTTACTTTGCTGCCGGAATAGACTGGGATGAAAATGAATTATACGTATTAGAAGTGATACATCGCTACGTACAAGTATTGGACGAGTATTTTGGAAATGTGTGTGAACTGGATATCATCTATAACTTTGATAAGGTTTCTATTAAACCATAATCGTGTGCATTGAATGAGATTTTATACGATTCCATTTCATGATATTTATTATCTTAGGCGTATCAGGTTTTAGATGAATTGATAATGGGTGAGTGTTGGTGTTATGAAATATTGACTCGAAACTTATTATCTATTATATAGAGACTAATTTTTTCTTGTTTTGAAGGTGGGGAAATGCAAGAACCAAATCGAAAAGCTATCGTTCGTGCGTAAATTAATTTTTTACAGTACTTAATCGGATTTCATTGGTTATTTCAAATGATCTGAATTCATTTTATTTAGGCCATATATCAGGTTTTGAAAAGTTCTGCGAATTAGATGTCATAACAACAAATATCAAAAACACAGTAATGTTGTCGTAGCATAATTATAACCATTCAGAACGTCGTCGACACCCCCCCCCCCCATTCCATCAAACATGATAATTCTATCAGACTTGCTCCGTTGACTCCAGATTCTCAAAAGCACCCATGCATCAACTCAGCCAAGTAAATAACAATTGGGAATATCCTAGGTTCTCATCATGTAAATGACCAACTTATCGCGCTTCCATTTTGTCTCGATAGCACTTTTGATGACAATACTATGGTTTCAAATATCATCGAAGAGGGTGAAGTGACCTTGGGTATTGCAGTTCATAGCAAACTTACCTATCTCGTTCCTTAATTAGATTCTTTGCAATATTGAAAATGTATAATAAAAATAAAACGAACGAACATTTCGAGAAAAACATTATTTTTTAATATGAGGTGTCTATGTCCAAGTATACCGCTGGGTCTCGAACAGATTATAGTTGGACGCCAAATAATGTCACCTACAGTTTCGGAACTATAACCTGGACCATCGATATGCAGTTTCGGCACCAACTCTAAAACGGATACTTTTGATAATATTTATACTCGTGTTTCACTTGTAATTTTGAAAACTGTAGAGCGAGAGATTCACCACTCGATAACAGATCGAGATTCAGAACATAATAATGCTCCCCTAAATAGAAGATCACAAGACATGTCGGCTGCCTGATAATCGAATTTGAAGTTGGGGTTAAGGGTTAGGAGATCTAAACTATATAAAATTTTCTTCAAAACCTTTTTTACTAATATATACCAAGCTAGGTTTATGCATAGGGTTTCATCGGATTTGTTTTGCTGTTCATCGTCCAATCAAAACATCGGGGAGAAATTAGTAAATGCATTGATAATTATCTTCAAAATTTACTCGATAACGATAAAAATACAATTCAAAAGATAAACTAAATAATGTTCTCAAATAAATTAGAGTTTTACCTTAATGGAACGCGTGTAGAGTTAGAAAATCCAGATCCGGATATTACTCTTTTACAGTATATTCGATCTAGTGGACTAACTGGGTAACAAAAATAATGTCTATATAACCGTATTCTCCCGGAAATAAACACCACCTAAGAAAATTATGACCTTGTATTAATTAAAAAATTACAATAACGATAATTTTTCTTGAGCCAGGGAAGGTAATTGTGGGTGATGATTTTGTTTGGGGTGAGAAGCAAGCAAATCTTCCTTATATTGCACTAATTTAGGAATAAGCTTCATTTATTTTGATTGAGTGATGTTATTTCCGGATGTTGCTTATTCCTGACGAATCCGGTAGCTATTCAAGAAACTGTCTAGAAATAAGCACCGCTCCATTTTGGAGTCCAAAAAATGGCAATTAAGTGGCGCTTATTTCCGGGAGAATACGGTGTAAAATAAATAAAGCATAGTTTTAGTATTATATATATATATATATATATCTATATATATCTATATAATTTAATTGAATGATGATATAGAACTAAACTTGGATGCGCAGAAGGAGGCTGTGGCATGTGTTAAATGAATCATCTTAAAGACGCTTATTCAATAAAAAGGAGAATTTTAATAAGATGATTAATTACAACAGGCGCTTGTACCGTACTTGTCTCACATTATGATCCTACAACACGAAAAATTATAAATTCATCCGTTAACGCGTGTTTAGCGCCTTTGTGTTCTATTGACGGAAAACACGTGATTACTATCGAGGGAGTTGGAAGTTCACATAAACCACATCCTGTTCAGGTATAAATTTTTTTTAATATTACATGTAATGGATAAGCTTATAAACATTTATATAAATGGTTTATACATAAAAAATTAGGAAAGGATCGCGTTGATGCATGGGTAATTTGTTGATTTTCCAATTTTCGCATGCAATAAATCCAGTAAAATAATCTAGAACAAATTTTATGATATCCATGATGAATTAGTTCACAATGCGGATATTGTACTCCAGGAATCGTCATGTCATTATACGCGTTACTCAGGAATAATCCTGAGCCATCAGAAATAGAAATCGAAGACTGTCTTGATGGTAATAATCGTAGAGTTCAAAGGATATGGATCCCTTATATTTTATATGTGTGTGTTTATCTGATAATTAGGAAACCTTTGTCGATGTACTGGATACAGACCTATTCTTGACGCAGCAAAAACTGTGAGGAAATCTTGCCATTTAGACTTTTACTCGTTTGATAAAAATTTTGTTTACAAAAAATTCTCACAACATAGTTCGCGTCTGATTCACCATTTACTATACGTCAAAGTGGAATCGGTGATGAAAAGTGTGACGATTTGGATGGTAGTCGTGTTGATGACAATTCATGTTTGGAAAAATCGGTAATGATTGATTTTTTCAAAGCGGGGATTATATTTTTCTTTTGCTAATAAATAATGATTTTGATATAGCAAAAGAAAGGATGCGGGCGTGAGAAATGTTGTCAGCTTAACGAAAAACCTGAAGATTTTATCATTCTTGATAAATTTCCGCAGGTGAAAACAATATATTATATAATACAATCTACAAAAAGATAAACTTAAAAATTTTTTTTATAATGACAGTATAAATTAAAGCGTTATGATCCGTCACAAGAACTAATTTTCCCGCCATCACTTATGAATCGAGTTTTGACGCCACTTTCTTTTACCGGAAGAAAAACGAAATGGTTTCGGCCAACAAATCTTAATCAATTGTTAGACCTCAAGAGATTATATCCAAGCGCAAAATTGGTATCGGGAAATACAAGAGTTGGCATTGAAACAAAATTCGAAAAACTAGAGTACCCAATTCAGATCTATGTTGGCGATGTCGAAGAATTACAGGGTTGGGAGTTTGGAGGTGAGCCTTGATAGTATTGTGTTGCTTTGGAGATTTAAATCAACCCAGTTTTCACTATTTGTGGTCAAATAAATCAAATTATAGAGCATGGTTTGACAATTGGGGCAAACATAAATTTTTCAAAGCTTATAAAGGTTTTGCAAGATGCTTGTGGGCATTATAAGGTCAGCATTAGCATAATGAGAGCAAATTTAAATAAAAATTTATCTCAGTAGAAATTTTCGCATTAGCCATATCAAACGCAAATTTTCCAAGCTATCCTCAATAGCTTGCGACGGTTCGGCGGAACTCAAATTCGCAATATTGCAACCCCGGCAGGAAACATTATTACCGGCTCTCCAACATCAGACTTAAATCCAATACTTCTTGCAACAAATACTCTTTTCACACTCGCTTCACTCATAAATGATTCTGATCAAACTAAAATTCAACGTGTTGTATCATCTGCATCATTCTGGACCGGATATAAAAAGTCAATATTAGCAGAGATTGAAATTCTTGAATCAATTTTTATTCCATGTTCAGTAGAAAATGAGTTTGTGAGAACTTATAAGCAAGCGAAGCGACGTGATGGGGATATCGCGATAGTTAATGCCGCATTAAGAGTTTCACTAAATAATGAATTTCTGGTTAGAGATGCTTCTTTCTCGTTTGGAGGGATGGGTGATGTAACTTTGCGTGCTCAACAGTCTGAAACTTTTGTCAAAGGACAAAAATGGGGTGATGATAAAGTTCTTCAAGGATTATTAGACACACTTTTACAGGTATTATTTTTTGATTCAGTCCCTTTTTAGTTAAGTGGCAAATTATTTAGATATGATACCTCTTTTGAACAGGAGCTACAACTTAACTTTTCTGCCCCTCGTGGTATGGCATCATATCGTAGGTCTCTCGCGGCTGGCTTTTTATATAAATTTTGGCATGATGTCGGAACAAAGCTCGGGCTGTTTACCATTAACAAAAGTAGTGATAAGATGATTATTGCTGATGAATTTACTGAATTAATTGAACGAAAGGTATCTCGAGGTGTGCAGAGTGTTGGTAAACCAGAGTTAGTATTAATTCCTTATCGTTTAGTATATGAGATCCTTAGTTTGAATGAATTAATCTTATTTGTGCAATCGTAGAGATGGAAAGATTCACGTTGGAAAATCTATTCCACATGCATCTGCTTTTTCGCAAGTGGCTGGTGAAGCTGTGTATGTGGATGATATTCCAAAAATACATGGTGAATTGTATGGTGCGTTACTGTTATCAAAGGAACCGCATGCAAAGATCTTAAGGTAATACATATATATTTGATCATCAAATGTCTCACTATATTAATTTCCGTCCATATCTGGTTGTTAGCATTGACGCAAATGAAGCCTTAACACAACCTGGTGTGCGTGGATTTTTTTCGGCCAAAGATGTCCCTGGAAAAAATAGCTGGGGATTTATTTTTAAAGATGAAGAAATTTTTGCAAGTTCAGAAGTGCATTGTGTCGGTAAGTGTTTTGTATTGTATTGAATTGCATCTCTTTAATAGTTTGGATTAATTTGATTTTGTTAATATGGATCGTTATTGCTATAGGACAAATTATTGGTCTTATTGTGGCTGATTCACAAACATTAGCACAGGAAGCCGTAAGGCTTGTGAAGGTAGAATATGATCGACTTCCGTATATATTGACTATTGAAGAAGCAATCAAGTATCATAGCTTTTTCCCGGTTGCACCTGAATTTTCTCGAGGAGATATAGATAACGCATTTAATGAAGCAGATTACACATTTGAAGGTATTTTTGCGGATCAAATCGATCGATAATCTCAAGCTTTGTGGTTGATTAATGAATATTAATATACCCTTGAATTCTATAGGAAGCTGTAGGATCGGTGGCCAAGGTCTGAAAGAAAGCGATTAGATTTATTACTTTTTTTAATTTCTCGATAACATAAAAAAATAAAATATCTATTTCGACGAATAGAACATTTTTACATGGAAACTCAGGTTTCGCTTGTTATTCCAAAACCTGAAAACCACGAATTTGAGATCCACGCAGCAACTCAAGCTCCTACGGAAATTCAAGAAGTCCTCGCTTCCGCACTCGGTATTTCATCCAACAAAATAGTTTGCCGAGTAAAAAGATTAGGTGGTGCTTTTGGTGGGAAAGAAACTCGAAGTATCCAATTGGCCGCACCGTTGGCAATTGGGGCGTGGCATACGAAAAAGCCGGTTAGGTGCATGTTGAATCGTGATGAAGATATGATCATCACGGGGCAACGGCATCCAGCTTTGGCACACTGGCGTATTGGAATAAATAAGGATGGGAGAATAAAAGGACTTGATTTGTTTGTAAATATTCTAATACAGATTCATATATTATATATATTTTTTGCAAAAGAGTAGTCGTCTTAAAACTTAAATTTCCTCTTTTCAAAGGTATACCTAAATGCCGGATGGACTTCAGATTTATCACCTGCTATATTGGGATGGGCCATGGTTCATTCCGACAATTGTTATTATATTCCGAATATGAGGGTTCGGGGTAAAATTTGTAAAACTAACATTCACTCTAACACGGCGTTTCGTGGATTCGGAGCTCCACAAGGAATGCTGATAATGGAAAATATAATTAATGAGGTGGCTGATTCTATGGGCATCAGCGTTGATTCATTAAGGGTAAATAGCCCTTTTTATTGCATTTGTTTTTGGTATATAAACAGCATGCGAATTTTATGTTTTTAATTATATAGGAAATAAATTTCTATAAAGAAGGGCAAAAGACACACTACGATCAACTCCTTACCGATTGGCACCTGCCACAACTGTACCAACATCTAAAAACAACAAGTGAATTTGAAAAAAGACGACGGGAGGTTGATCTTTACAATGCGAATCATAAATGGCGGAAACGCGGTTTAGCGTTTACTCCCTCAAAATTCGGGTTAGGGTTTCCTTATTTGTTTATGAACCAAGCGGGAGCATTGATCCATATATATATTGATGGGAGCGTGCTTGTTAGTCACGGTATTTGTTAATTATTATATGAAATTATTTTGAATCTAAAGTTTTTGGTCGGATCCGTAATGAATATTATTGTTTTTTATTAAAAAATAATAATGTATTATGAAGGTGGTGTTGAAATGGGCCAAGGTTTACACACTAAAATGCTGCAAATTGCAGCTGAAGCGCTTTCCATTCCATTAGATCAGGGTAATTATTTAAGTATTGACAAATCATCAGTTTTTTATGAACAATTCGAATTTTTTTAACATATATACGAATTTAAACAACAAATAGTTCATTTAATGGAAACCTCGACAAATAGTGTTGCGAATGCAACTACTACTGGCGGTAGTTTGTCTAGTGATCTTAATGGTTATGCTGTTGCAAATGGATGCGAAAAACTTGCGGAGAGATTACGACCATATCGCGAAAAGATGCCAAATGCAAGCTTTAAAGAGGTGAGCATCGAAAAGATATCATACTTTTATTTCAATAAGCAAGCATTCCATTTGATTATAATCGATCACTTCTTTAATATAGATTGTTCAAGCAGCCTATTTCGATCGCGTAAATCTATCCGCAAATGGATTTTACAAAACTCCCGACCTCGGATACTCTATGGAAAGAAACAAAGGCCAAATGGTTTCCTACTTTACAATGGGAGCCGCGGTCTCCGAAGTCGAAATAGACACTTTGACTGGTGATCACACGATACTGCGGACAGACTTGTGTATGGATATTGGAAAGAGTTTGAATTATGCGATTGATATTGGGCAGATTGAAGGCGGATTCGTGCAGGGCGTTGGATGGTGTACTATTGAGGAAAGCTTGTTTTTGCAGAGTGGACATCTTTATACACGCGGGCCGGGGAATTATAAGATACCTGGATTTAGGTGTGGATTATTTGTTTATTTGCTAGTTATTTTTTGTCGTATTCCAGTATTATCATCTAATTAATATCTATATAAAAAGAAATATTCCCCAGGATTTCCGTGTTAGCATTTTCCAAGGAGCACAGTACCCTCATCTAAAAACCATTCACAGTAGTAAAGGTATTGGCGAGCCACCATTTTTCCTGGGATCCTCGGTATTCTTTGCAATTAGGGATGCCATCAAAGCTGCAAGGTCATTATTATGTTATTACGATTGGGGGTTTGGCAACTACTACTGAAATTTGGTTCTGTTTAATTTGTTTAATTTATAGAAAAGCAAATTCCGTAAACAAAATAGTGAATCTTTGTTCCCCTGCTACACCAGAACGAATTCGTATGGCATGCATTGATCCTATTTCTATAGCGGCAAGTGTCTCGAAGAAAGATGATGAAGAATCTTGGATTGTGATGGCTTAGTATTTAACCATTTATTTATAATATAAAATTTATGTCAAGTTTATATTTTGTCTATTTTCTGTATTGTAAATAATAAAATCATTATAAAAAGATCATAATAAAAATTAGTTTTATTATAAGAGTTTATTAATAACGCAAGTTAAATATATAATTTAGAAAAATATGAAAAGCTTAAAATTCTCATTAATAATTTTAGACTCAGTTTTTTTGATATGAATTTTAATAGAATATATATATTACATTTATAATTATGTTTAGAAAATAATAAATTGATTAATCTATAATAATTTTGATTATTTATTAATATTAATAATTAATATTTTAAAGATACTATAATTCTTATTTTTCTAGTATTACTTATATTATTAATACTAATTATTTATTTAAATTCTTCTAATAAAATTATTATTAAAATTAAAATAAATTTCTAATTTTAATTACTAATTAACTTAGTTAAGTCTTTAAGTATATTAATTAATTTAATATTTAATATATTTATTATTTTTAATAAATTAAGTAATTTTTATAAGTAATTATAATATTATTAAAGATAATATATTAAAAATTATTATAATTTGAACTTTTTTTCTAAATTAAAATCTAAATTATTAATATATTTAGAATTTAAAAAATTATTAAAGAAGTTTTATTTAAGATTTTAAATATATAAAATTAATATAAATATTAATTATTTAATAATAATATTATTAAATATTAATATAAGAACTTGATAAGTATTTTATTATTATAATTAATAATATTGAAATTAATATCTTTGAATAAAAAATTATTAAATTTTTTTAATAAAGATAATTAATAATTTCAAAGAGTTCAATATATTTTAATATGAGTTTCTTGATTATTTTTTATTTATTAATTGAATTTTCTATATTATAAGTAAAAAGAACTTAATCTGTAATATTAAATTTCTTATATTTTTTATATTAATTTGCATATTTACTTTATCTATTTTATACTTCTAATAACAAATTTTTAATAATTTTTATTATAATATTCTAATATTTTATAAATTTTTATAATATTATAATATTATTCTATAATAAAAGAATATTAATTAGAATATAAAATAATTATTTATAATTTAATTTAAATAATATATATTTAATAGAAGTATTTTTGCTATTATTATAAATAAATTTTATAATTACTAGATTTTTATTTTATTAGTTTTATTTATATATTGCATAAATTCTAAGCTTTTCTTCAAGAATTTTATTAAGTTTTTCTATTTGATTATCTAATTATAAGTAAAAGACTATTAATATTACTAGCTTAATTTCAAGTTATTTAAATAGTAACTTTCAAATTTGCTAGTAAATTTAATATTTCTATCAGAAATAATTACTAAAATAAATTATATAATTTGAAAATATTTTTAAAAAATATTTTAGTAATATCAGATATTATTATTATTATAATTATAAATATAAAATAAATTCTTTAAAAGTTTATTAATAAATATAATTATTATATTATATTTAAACTTGATAGTTAATAATTAAACTATAAAATTTATAATAATTTATTCTTATCTATATTCTAAAATAATAAATAATTAAAATAATTTAAAGAATTATTAATTATTATTTTTATTATACTAATAAGATAATTAATAATATATTTATAAATATTTTTATTTATCTTTAATTAGTAAAATTATTAAGATATAATAATATATATCTTGTCTATTTTAATATATTTAGTAATTAATATATCATGAAATTCAAATAAAATTTTATCTTTAAGATTTTATTATCTGATATAATTATATAATTAATATTCTTCAAATATAATAAATTTTCTTTTAATTCAAAATATTTGATTTTTACTTATTATTTTGATATTATATTACTAAAATTTTATAAAATATTTATCTTTCTGATACTTTTTTATTAATTCTTTTTTATTAATAAGATTGATAATAATTATTAAAATATTTACTAAATATGATTGATATAAAAATATATTTATAATAATATTATTTTTATTAAATTTATATTTAACTTTAAAATTATTTACTTGTAATATTTTTAATTAATAAGTTTATCTCTTAAAAAGATTATATTATATCTTGATATATTTAAGAAAAATATAATCTATAATAACTATAAATTTTTAATCTTCTAAATATAGTTTTTAGAATTTAATAGTATATATTATTATAAGTAACTCTTTTTTATATATCAGATAATTTTATTCTGCTAGTAATAAACTTTTTTAATTCAAAAGCTATTGATTAATTATTCTTGTCTTAATTTTGACTTAGTATAACTTTAATAATAAAATTAGAAGTATTAGTAATAATTATAAATAACAATAAAATTAATACTAATATGAGATATTATTTAAGAATTTTAAAAGTTTATTATACTTAGATAGATTATTTATATTTTTTATTTTTATATAAAAATATTATAAATAATAAGATTATAACTGAGAATTTTTTAATAAACTTTTTATAATATTTTGTAAGTTTTAAAGTTCTAATATATTTATTAATATAAGTTAATCTTTAATAATAATAATTTTTCTTTGATTAATTAAAATATCATCTGCTAAAATAAAATATTCAAGAAATTTTATATATTATTAAATTATATTATATTTCTTTTACTTAATATATAACTTATACTTATAAAGTATATTAAATACTATTTAAAAATATTAAAAATATTTTTTTTATCTTACTATAAATTAAGATATTATCTAAGTATATAATTATAAATTTGTCTAGATAATTATAAAATATATTATTCATTAAGATCATAAAAATAATAAGTATATTAGTGAGATCAAATAATAAGATCAAGAATTTATAATAATTATAATAAATTTTAAAGATAGTTTTATATATATCTTTTTCAATTATATGAATTTGATAATATTCTAAATATAAATCTAACTTTGAAAAATACTTAAATTTATAAGTCTATTTATAAGTTTATTAATTCTAAATAGAAAATAATAATTCTTGATAATAATTTATTCAAAACTTTATAATTAATATATAGTCTTGATATATTTTTTTTCTTATATATAGATAAAACTAATATTATAAATAAAGAGATACTAGTCTAAATAAAATCTTTCTAAATAAAATTAGCTAATTATTTCTTGAGCTCATTTATTTTTATAAAAAAAGTCTATAGATTAATTTGAATAATAATTTAGAATTAAAGATAAGATTAATTTTATGATCAATTATTTTCTTGGATAATAGTTAATTTGATAAGATTTCTAAAAATAAATTCTTATATTTTTTTTAATTTTTAATACTTTGAATACTAGAAATTTTTTTCAATTTCTTTTTTATCTTTAGTATTATTAAGATATATTATAAAGAGTTTTGTATCTATTAGTAAATTTATAATTTATTATTTTAAAATATACAGTAGTAATCAAAAAGAATGCAACACTTGAACTAAATTTTTTAAATATATTTATTTAGGTAAATTTATAATAAAGTTTGTTTTTAATT